TAAATAAAAACGAAAAATATAACAAAGTAATTAGCCTTAGGGACTAAGGATCGTTTTATTAGCAGATTGTTCTGTATTGCAGAGAACGGGTTTTTACTGTTTTCTATCCCAACAAAAAAACTATCAATAAACTCTTTTTGGTGTCTTGAAGTGACCCAACTGTATGTGTATAATAAACAGCCACAACACACTTATTCATATCAAATGACACGGAACCCATGACCATTTTATATTCATAAACAGTGACGCAGACAGCTCTATAAGAAGGTCTATTTTTGCCGCGGAATGTATCTATATCAGTCTAGCCGAAATGCCTACGCGTACGTTCATAAATGTGCCAAAAAATAAAAGAGCAATATCGAAAAGTATCAAAAGTAAAGCCATTCAAGAAACCTATTCAAATGTTTATGTGACTTTAATTACGTGACAGCGCACTTGGAATGAAACAACATTGAAATCCTATTAAATATGTATGCAGTTATGGCCGCAGCACAGACACAAGTGTAAGCGATTGACACAGATACTCGCACCCTGAGATACACAAATACATCCACCAATTGTCGGATAGTTGGAGAAATAGAGAGGGCGCTCTAAACATCCAAACATGGACTCACTAGCGAACCATAACCAAAAACCAAGTTTCGGAGGTGACGCAATTTACAAATAGTTGCGAGCGCAAAATTTGTATTTGCACACAAAATTCTACAAATACAAATAACATTCGCCCGGTGGCCGTAGCGGCAGTAGGTAACAGTATCTTACGGATACATATGTGCAGAGTAAAGCGACTACACGGAGAGAAATGCAAGTCTAAATTGATCTCAACTGGGTACACAAGAATTCCCAAGCCAACCAAATAAAAACCACCTTTACCTTTAAGCAGAATATGATTTTTCAAATATTAATGTATTACGATTAAATTAACTTGTTCGAATGTTTAAATAAATAGAGCAGCTTTTCCGAAGTACCAAAGGTAGCATTGGCTTGCCAAGACCTGGACAAGCAAACCCAGTCCGCCGTTCAAGTGTCCGTCATCGGATTGAATCGCATCGAATCGCATTGAATCGCATGTGGCAAGGTGTAATTTACCCTTCAATCAATGCGCAGCAAATCAGTTGGCAATGTGCTGTGCGCAGGCGCACCTCGATGGATCCCCCCTCGCTTTCCGAATCAGTTGGCAGCACATTTGGGTTAACAATTGGTTAACTGTATACCGGCCATATCGGGGCTTGTGGCTATATTTATATAGCTGCACATGTCTGTGTGTGCCGAATGACTAACTGGGCGCAAGGTGGTTTTTATACTCGCTTAAAAAAGCATTAAAACTTGTGTGGAAGTCGGCAGTGCAGGAGGAAAGCCAGCTACCAAAGATACTATTTGGTATTTATGTATACAACATAAGTGACTAATCGGATTTCTATGAGGGAGTTGCCTTCCATATTTGAGAGCTGCTCGATAAATATGATAGTAAATCATATCGTAATTTTAGGCCAAGTAGGGGCAAACTACTAACATTACTACATTTTATTAGCTTCCCAATTCGTAATAAATTGATTTTAGGCAAAGTACATCCATTCACTCATAAGTACTCATAAAAGCACTTCCTTATAACCCCTCAAATTTACGAATTATTTTTAACTAATATCTCAATATTAACGTATTGCCACATCAAACCCGAATGATAAATTATAATTAATTATTTTATTGTCAAAACATCGTTTACATTTCCTCATTCGGTCAACTTTAGACCACCTTTTTGCGTTAACTGTTTGGCTTGCTTTAACGCACCGAGTTAACCAAAAATACAGTAAAGGAAAAAAATCACAGACAATGAGATGTTGATCATGTTGTAGTTGGCAGGTTAACAAGCAACCCGAGCAGCCTTAGGTGTGTATTTATGTTGAAAATATCTGAGGCGAATTGGTGCTTCCTTAATTTACCATGTTAATTGCTCAAATTAACACGCAGATAAATCGAGAGACAAGTCAACAAACCCGACCGTCGAGTCAACAACTTGGTTGCGCTTCAAGGCAGCCAAGGAAATCGTTTCCTTTTGGCCAATGGATTGGATGGATGACGGCCAAACAATGCGTCCAGTTTGGACAAACATTTTCAGCAGCAAACCCATTTCATGCCCATTCCAACTTCCCACGTTGCACGGCAGGTAGCCGCAAAAACTTGTAGAACGTGCTGGTAAAAATGGTAAAAATAGCCATGCAGCAGTTTGAAGCAACAAATTTTCAAGTTTAAATCTAAATGTGGCAGTAAATCGTGCACGGCCGGCAACGAAGATGAAGATACTGCCAAAGTCCAAGCTCCAAGAAAGCCCGGCTCTTAGAAATTAGAAGCGTGCTGAGGGCAGACTGTCTGGGGATTGTAATCATAGTTGTAATCAGTTTCTTGAATGGGGTCACTTTGGCCCAATAATGAACCGAATTTCCACAAAATGTTTGTCACACTTTTGACATTTTGCACGACTCGCTCGCTTGTCGACCGAAAATAGTTCCCAAAATAAATGAATCGGGAATGAGAATTAAGACAGCGACTGCCATTCACTGAGCACGCAAACTCGCCACAAATGAAATGCAGTTCGTCTTGCTCTGTTGTACAATGCGGCGTATGCGCAATGTCTGGCGACAAGCAAGTTTGATTTCAATTTACGTAGCTGCGGTGAAGTCGAGTGGCTTATTACTCCCTTAACAATTTTTTGGGAGTAATCAAATACACATATGTTCAATTGAAAGATTGAAAACATTGTAGTATATGACCACCAATTATAATTTATATATAGAAAATAATATATATAGAAAATTGTTTTATATGGTTAATATAAATATAAATTAAAATATAAAAAATATCAATTTTTACTCGATTAATCAGAAATCTTAACAATATTCCGAAAATATTTTTAAAGCAGTAAAGTATTGACTTTTAAACTTAAGAGTAAAGGAAAGTGGGGCGCGACTTTTAAGTTCACAAGTGCTCGCAAGAGTTAAGTGTCGTCAAAAAGGCAAAGAGTATAGAAAAAGAGCAAGGGTGCCATCTGGGAAACGAAGAATCATCAGACCGGCATTCGGCTGGTTGTTAAATTTAAAACTTTAATGTCATGCACGAAAGAAAATGTGTGGAAAATGCATTTGCGTGGCCACCACCACATGGCAACACACGAAATCATCAGCTTGTTGACAGGAGGGGGAAAACATAAAATTGAAGAAAATAAAAAACGGCAGCGCGAAAATATCTCAAAACAAACAGATGCAGATGCAAATGCAGATGCGGCGAAAAGCGGGAGGAAAACTCGAGAAAAGTGCACGTAAACAAAGATAGGCAGAGGCAGCTGAGCAGAGAAAAAAGAAACAATATTTCCGCATTCCTCGCCACAAGCAAACCGGGCAAACATACGAGTTACGATATTTGACAAAATTTCGTTTCAGCGATGAGATGCAACTATCGGGGCAAGTCGCTCATCTAACCCAAATTCGTTAGTTTTTATTACTTTTATTGCATTTATGAAAATGGCCAAATCAGCAGAGCCAGAGCGGCAGAAAAAAAAGTTCGGTGCCAGCGAATCTGCAACTCGTTTCGATTGGAAAGTGTTGCCAATTTGCTCAACGACGATGGTGACTTTAATTGTGCGCTTTATTAGCGCAATTTATGCCCCGACTTGGCTCAATGCTCCCATCGACAAACCAGCGGCTCGTGCTCTGCACTTCGACTCCAACTCCATTTAGTTTCGAGCCAGCTCTTGATTATTATTTCTCAGTCATTGCAATTTCATCTAATTTACGGCAATTACACTCCAAATTCAATTGTTACGAAATTATGATGATTTATACACTCTGACTCCCGGCATCCATCCGTCCACGTACGTGAGCCCGAGCGATGTCCGTCGAGAAACTCTTCAATCCACCCATGGATCAGCGCCATAGAAAGTAGAACAGGGCACGAGAGTGAGAAAAGCGAACCGAACAATGGCAAGGCAATGACAAAAAAACACAACACACAAAGCACACAACGCAAGCCGAAAATGAACACTAAAAATGAACAGCAATCAACCAAAAGTTAAACGATAAACTATACCCATTATCTGCCGAATCAGGGTATAACCTGCTACGTTAGCATTATTCTAAACTTTAGGACTGAAGTCCAATACTTGGTGCAGTTTGAACTAAATAAAACTCCCACTTATATAAATAATTCATATTTATAATTCAAGAAAGGAAAGCCGCAAACGCAATTACTTGGTACTCAACAGTCGTGACGAAAAATCCGCACGCCGTACTTATTATACGAAAAGTCACATGACAATCGTAGCCGAGTTATTATAATATTATTATACGACTCAATTTGCAAATAAATAAAAAGTAAATTGAAGTATATATAAGCATGTATTATCGGCATTGTGCCATTTCCCAGGGGCGGGTGCAGGGGGGTGCTTACATACACACATGTGTGTGAATTGTCGAATGTGCGAAATATCACAAGTCAGAAATACAAAGAGTACGAGTCGAATGAGTATGGGTATGAGTCGAATGTTAGACAACCAACCAAAGTGCAAACAACGGTCTTTTTATTTAGCTGTTTTTCAGGACCCCAAGGTTACAACTTGCCCACTATATCTTTACTGCACTCTATTATTCAGACAGCTGTGGCAAATGCATTCGTGTTCTAGGCAAACAACACAATAACTGCGATGCGTTTGGCAAATTACGCAAATGAGTGATTCAGTCATTCATTTGAGGGAGTGTTAAAACAGAATTGAAATTCTGTTTCAGAGTGAAACATCGGCTGATATGAGCTCGCGGCAAAACAAACAATAGAGTATAATGAACGAAATTCGTTTTGGTTTCGAATGTAGGTTGCGATAAGGTTGCACCTTTTCAAGGTGCGCTCAAACTAGTTGTCTGAGTTATATCTAATGGAGGTCCATTAAAAAGTATTTAATGCAGACATTCTATCTCCGCTTTGATCGTAATTGTTTAGCCTTAAAGTTCAGATTTTTATTAAATTTCGTATATATTTTGTTCGCATCACCCAAAATTTTTTCAAAATTCGAAAATACGCCGCATATTTTAGTCAGAGGGCCAGCCTCTGCGCTCTGTCACCATGTCCATATTTTCCATTGAGCCCTAGATTTCGCTGCTATGCCGACAAATGCAGAAGGGAGACGGTGCGACTGTGGGTTTCTAATATTTAAATCACTTATCTCAACGATCAGTCTTCGCTAGGAACCTAAGAAGTTCCGGCTGGACCGTGGACCCTACCTTTCCCAGCTGGACTACCAATCTCGCCTTCAGTTCCAAGCACCAGCTCTGAGGTTACCCCTCACCAGCATTATATGCACCATTGGACCCTCATGCATCCAGCCCGAAGTTCTCCTTGCACTTATTCATGCTGGGATGAGGGTGGTGCGATTGGACTTTTCCCAAGGCACCCACGATTGCCACTGTCAGGCAATCCAGGCGGCTCGTAAAGCCATCTCCATGTACGTGGAGGAAACGGGTCTACCCCGGAGCTTGGCCATTGCTCTGGACACCAAGGGCCAGGACTTACCGGCGGACTTAGCCGCCTTAACCGAGCAAGACAAGCTGGACCTGAAGTTTGGCGCGGATCAGAAGGTGGACATGATCTTTGCGTCGTTCATCCGCGATGCCAGAGCTCCAAAGGAAATTCGCCAGGCACTGGGTCCATCAAGTGAGCACATGAAGATCATTTCCAAGATCGAGAGTCAACAGGGTCTGGCGAACATAGATGAGATAATCCGCGAATCCGATGGCATAATGGTGGCCCTTGGAAATATGGCCAGCGAAATACCACTAGAGGCTGTGCCACTGGCGCAGAAATCGATCGTGGCCAAGTGCAACAAAGTGGGAAAACCTGTGATCTGTGCCAACCAAATGATGAATTCAATGATAACCAAGCCTCGTCCTACTCGCGCCGAGTCCTCTGATGTGGCAAACGCAATCTTCGATGGCTGTGATGCCCTCGTGTTGTCCGATGAAACGGCCAGGGGTAAGTACCCGGTGCAATGTGTGCAGTGCATGGCCAGAATCTGCACCAAAGTCGAGTCGATTTTATGGTATGAGAGCCTTCAGAACAACCTCAAGAGGGAAGTCCGGATCAACGCCGCCGATCACATCTCGGCGGTGACCACGGCAATTGCAGAGGCGGCTACGGTGGGTCAGGCTCAGGCCATAGTGGTGGCCAGTCCGTGCTCCATTGTGCCTCGAATGGTCAGTCATATGAGGCCGCCGTGTCCCATCGTGATGCTCACCGGCTGCCCACATGAGGCTGCTCAATCCGTGCTCTTTCGGGGCGTTTTCCCACTCCTCGTCAAGGAAATGGTTTACGGCAGCCTAAACTACTGTCGCATCATGCAATCGGGCCTAAAGGTACTGGCCAAGTTGGACATCCTGGAGCCAGGCCAAAAGGGAACGCTGGTGCTGGTCAATGCCATGTCGTTAGACAAGCTCACCTTCCGGCTGTTCACTTTTGTTCAGCCAACTGAGGCAGAGCGAGAAGAAGAACGCTGCCGAAAATTGGCTCGAAAGCAGCGATGCAAGGAAATGTCTATAAGTAAATCCTGTTCAAATCTACAGATCAGTAAGCCTGAAATATCCATGAAGCCCAAAGAAATGGAAGAATGTCCTACGCCCGAAAGAACCTCGAAATGTTTACAGCTGGAAAAACAGAGCGAGCAGAAACGGAGCGAAGATTTGCCAATATCCGTAGAAAAGGAAAATATCTGTTCAAGAAAAGAATGTCCCAGAAAGGACGACTTGACTTTGAAATGCCTCCAGCTGAAGAAAGAAAGGCAAGCTCAAACGGAAGCTGAGATGAAAAAGCTCAAAAAAGCCGAAGATGGTCGAAAAAACAATAAGGCGGCTAAGGATAGTCTTAGCCTTAAGAAAGAAGGCGATAATGCCTTGAGATGCAGTAAGCTGAAAAACGGAAGTCCAAAGAAGGATAAGTGCAGGGTAGTCAAAATTCCGGGGACATCCGAAGAAAAGGATAATTATAGCCCGAAGAAAGAATCTCTTAGGAAAAACAAAAGGACCTCCAATCTAGAAAAAAGCGAAAATAAACAGGCAGAATATGCAAGCACAAACCCTGAAGAGTTGGAAAAGTCCTGGGATATTGTACTCGAAAACTGCAAGACAGTAAAACTCCAAAACTGCATGACAGTCAAACTCGAGAACTGCAAAATAACGAATCTTAAAAACTGCAAAACGATCAAGCTCGAAAACTGCAAGCAGCCGAGCAGACATAGGAAAACCACGGATCGTACTAAAAAAGTGTGAGGGTGTATGATGCAAGTATGAAGATACAATCGTTTTTGTGTCAAGGGTAGAATAGCCGTAAGAACGTTCTCTACTGATTAATAAAGGCGTGTTCACAACATAAATCATGATGTGTATAAAAAGTGAATGGTTGTGGCAGAAACTCATTTTTGAAAAAGAATTCAGATACGTTTTAGAAATTTTTTAGTAATATTGTGAGATATATCTCAAGCCATTGCAATACGAAAACGTATCCAATTAGCTTTGCTCTCCATTTTGTCCTGCTATTTTTACATTTCCAGATAAAGCAATTATCAACGAAAAGAAAACAAAAGTCAAAGCGGAACTGGAAAATAAAACAGTGAAAAAGAAAGGCAACCAATTGGTTTGAGAACTTAATTAACCAACGTTTGGTTGCGACAAGTTACGTTTTGAGTTTTTGTTTAGTTAATTTAGCTGGAAATATGAAATATACGAAGCTTTGGCGACAAATTTCACCGAACAAAAAAGCGGAAAAAGGCCGAATCAAACAATAACATAAAAAGGGTACAAAACGCAGTCATAACAATTAAAAATGCCAACACAGCCGTGCAAAAGTCAAACAAAGAGGGCAGAAGCACACACACGTAGTACCATACACAGTTTCACAGATATGAAGTGAGTGGTATACAATAATAATTGCTATATAGCGCACCGACTTAGCCGGGAAGTTAAAGACTTAGCATGGAAATGCCACAAGTTGAATAATATGGTATATAAGACAACCAGAGGGGTGTGCTTTCAACCGAGTCAAGACCGTGCATAATCAATCCGAAATGAAATGAATGACACAAGTGAGTCGAACAGAACCCGGCTGAAGTAATAACAGAGTCTTAGGAGCTCTAAACGAAGTCCCAGCTGTTGGCTGGCATAGAAATTACCGTCTAGTAACAATTAAAAATTAACCACTAGTTAGTTATATTCTTAATTAACAAGATAAACATAGTGAGAGCGCGGAGGGGCGAAAAGAGCGCTGTCTTGGTCATTTTGAAGCTTGTCTATGTAATTAGCTAAGTAAATGCACAAGGTTACAAGGGGGGTGGCCCCCATTTGTGGCAGAGCAGAAAAGTGCATTGCGAAAAATATACATTTATATTTTTACATAGTATGCAGGCCGGGACTGGGGTGGTATGCGATCAGTAAATAATTCGTGTTGGGCAAGGTTATGACGGGAATGCGGGTGCATTAGAGGTGGTTGAACTCAAGCCTTCATTAGAGAAACATTATTTAACATTATTAAACCCAATTAAATTACAAGCACTGAGCAGCTACTAATATATTTATTGCTGGCCATATACTTCCTCAAATAATACATTTGTTTTCCCTTCATATTGATATCTATACTAAATACAGAATTATACTTTTTGTAATACTGAAATCGTATTGTATTTATGTATAGGTATACCCTTTTGTTTTGTAAAGGGTAACAATATTTGTTACAATTGGTAGAGCAAACCATCAAAAGTTGTTCTCAAATCACCTAGTTCTCTTGGGGGAAACCCCCCTTTTCCACTTGATTTATTACAGAATCATATGGAATCAATCGGTTCAAAGCAATTTCAACTTCCGCTAGATGTTTGAGAAAACTGATGTGGCAGACATTCAATTTATCAAGGCCCATTTGGGTTATACAAACTATGTAGGATTGAAGATACGCACCATTTATCTAGTTAAATCTCATTTAAAACGGGTCTCAGTTAGAATGTTGAAATCGCTATGCAGCATGCCTGTTGGTTGGTTGTTCGAAAATGAAAATTGATTAATCCAAATGAATGAGCTGCGATGTCTAAGTGGGTTTATTTCGGTTTAATTTACTGATATTTTCGACTGTGGAATCATTTGATTTCTCTGATACGGTCACCAGTCACATTTCATTTTCTTTCCATTTTTTTTTTGCCAACACACGGAGATAAATATTTTTCGGTTTTGCTACGGGGGCTTTCGGGTTGTTGCGTTTAAAATTTCACTTTTAGTGCCGGGGTTTCGTAATACCTCGGCGTCAGAAACTAGATATCTTTTATTGATTTATTTAGTATGCAAAAAGAGAGATACGCGATCTCTTGGGTTTATTTTTTTGTATTGCAAGCGAGCTGCCTTAATTATACCGAACCGAAAATGTAGAACGCGATCGAAGCGCGTCTTCGCAGCACACAATTGCAATTCACAGACACTTAGGCACTCGGGTGGAGAATAAAGGTTGTGAAGTGATTCAGCTGGCCGAGATCAGATGACGCAGAATCTGCTCTTTGTTTGGGGCCCTTGAACACTGGGTTTGTTGTATTTTGCTATGTATATATTTGCTTACAAAATATTGAGACACGTGCGTGCGCTAGCCAGAAGAATATACGTGTATCTTGCAGATACAATTTCAGTACTAGAGAAACGAGGAAAAAAATAACTCCAACAAAGCGTTATCGCGTTGTACGCGGCTCTGCAATTGTTAAACAACTAAAGGAAAATAAAGCCAGCGAGAGTCCAACAGCTGCGAGCAGATTGTTGAGTTTCGCTGAATGCGATACATTTACCGAGAGAGAAAAGATACATTTACGGGGAGCGAACCGCTGAGCGAGAGCGAAAATCGAGTGAAACTTGCTAGCGGCTAACTGCTAGCCCTCGCAGCTGCTACCTCTTGATTGGCATGAGTCATGTGAGTGCTGAGTAAAAGCCAGTACAGGAACTTGGTCTTTTATGGATATCCAGCCAACTTTTTATTCCAAAATACTTCATTTAACTTGTTCTTAATTAGTAAATCTAATATTTTAATAGAATACAAGACTTTTATATATCTTGCAAAATCCAAACCTTTTCCTCTTAATTATAATATTGAGTGAGTAATTTTTATTCAGCCCGCTGAATAAAGAGCAGCCAGAAATTCAGAGTGAGCTGAACTCAAAGAGAAAGTGTTTCGAGCACTAAGAGCATTGTTATGTATCAATACAAAACCTGCATCTGCTGCATCATCTTCGGCTTTTATTTTTGAGGATCCTATCATCGCAAAGGTTATTTTTCTTCCAGACACACGCCTTGTTTTTATTTGTTTACGCACTGTATTTGTTGTTAGGTGCGTTTAATTTCTAGGTAAACAATCGCCACTTAGGGCGCCCGCTTAGATGTAATCAATTACAGATAATTAAGACAGAACTCCACGAGGAGCACAAAAGAAATAAAGAAATCAAAAGAATGCAAGCGTGTAAAGTATGGCAAAGGGTAATGCACTGGGCCAAAGACACATAGCAGACATCAGCAACATCGGACAGCAGCAACAACAAGTTAGAACCGACATCGAACGTAGCAACTATAAGATACCTTAAATATATTATGAATCGCAGTACTTTGTTTTGTTTTCTCCAAAGTATTATTCGAATCTTAAGGCTTTACCAGCTTTATTCAAAAACATGTGTACATATTTTCGTTCTTTCTAGCTTTTAAAATCTTGTGTTTAATAAATATAAAACTACATTACATGGTTTTTAGTATGCAGATTGGATTTACCCGGCTTAAAGTCTCTGCACGATTATAGTATACCCCACTAGCTACGAACACCGGGTATACAGCAGAGCGCAACTCATTAGTTTTTATTATGGTTATTGCCATTGGTGTTGATGTTGCCGAGCCATATGAAGGAGAGAAAAGCCGCCATGGACAAGTATAGTACAGCAAAAGACCAAAGCGGGGAGACAACGCTCGAGTGACCCACTGTCCAAGTGGACGGCCTTTCTTATCTGTCTCCACCTCCCTGCTTAATTACACGCCAAGGAGTCGGGACAGAGGCACAGTTGGCAAACTAATACCATACCATGAAGTACGTGGAAGAGACTCCACTCCACTCCACTTCATTGGGGTGCTAGTGGGACACATGAAGGGCACAATACACCAAGTTGCCAAGACCAAGTTGCCATGGAACCACTGCAAAAGGTTTAATCAATGACCCGCTCGCTTGCTCGCGCTCTCAAGAGAAAAACAACTCGAGTTTGAGTTGGTTATTTATGGAACTTGATAAGACAAATCGTATGGTTTTACGACCTTTCATTTCCATACGCTTTAAGTGTCTTGCCATGGCTACCAATAAAAAATATCAATGCAAACCTATCCCTAATAATATCTACAAGCATGTAACAGCTAGGCTTCGTATATTTGATTAATTCTTTAAAATGTGTGGGGAGATTGCAAATGGGGACATTTTTGATTGAGCAATTCGGGGACATGATAAGACAACTGAGATAATTGTGAATGCCTATTGTATACCATAAACTAATTCACCTTTTATATGCAACGAAAATGATTCTGATTTGTTAGATCGAGAGTGCTGTGCACTGTACACTTTTTCTTTAATAGTATTTCTTTGAAAATAATGAATAAATAATGCTGTTGTAGCTTCGGTAAGCAAATTATCAGCTATCTCTATAGCTTATTCGAGTGTCGCTGAAATTGTGCACCATCATAGATTAAGCTTTCTACCTCAATAATTAATTTAGCCGGTGTTTTTCTGTGTTGGTGTCATGAGTTGATAACAGTTGTGTACAAACTGGAATTATTGCTTATCAATTTGCCATGTGTAGGTTTGAGAACCTCTATAAAAACACTTAAACTAACCGGATTCAATTCAGTTTGTGAACGTTAGCTGACCGAGAAGTATTCAACGGTTTCCCAAAGGTGAGAAAAAAGGAGAGAGTGTTCCATGTTAGTGCTCAATTAAATTTATATATGGAAACTTAATTACTTTGGAACTGTGCAAAAATGAAAACCCGTGATAATAATTTCCCTCATTTCAGATGTCATACAAGGTTGAAGCTCTCCCCGATGGCCACGCCGCCCTGGGCGAGGGACCCCACTGGGATGTTGATCGCCAGAGTCTCTACTACGTGGACCTCGAATCGGCCGGCATTAATCGCTACGATTTCAAGCAGAACAAGGTGTACAAGGCGAAAATCGAGGGCGAGCAATTCGCGTCCTTCATTCTGCCGGTTGAGAACAAGCCGCAGGAGTTTGCCGTAGGATGCGGTCGTCGCACGGTCATCGTCCAGTGGGATGGAGTCTCCGCAGTGGCCAAGGTCACTCGCACCCTGTTCGAGGTGCAGCCGGACGAGAAGGACAACCGCATTAATGATGCCAAAACCGATCCCAATGGCCGCTTTTACGGTGGCACCATGGCCGCCAATGGCGACATCTTCACCCAATGGAAGGGTGAGCTCTACAGCTGGCAGGCCGGTGGACAGCCCAAGGCCCTGCGGGACAAGGTGGGCATCTCCAATGGCCTGGCCTGGGATGTCAAGGCCAAGAAGTTCTACTTCATCGACACCAACAACCACGAGGTGTTGGCCTATGACTATAATCAGAGCACTGGCGCCGTGAGCAACCCAAAGGTCATCTTCGATCTGAGGAAAATCCGCCCCGAAGGACCATTGTTCCCTGATGGCATGACCATCGATACCGAGGGCAATATTTACGTGGCCACCTTCAACGGTGGAACCGTCTTCAAGGTCAATCCAAGGTGAGTTTATAGTTTTCCACTCAAGTACAATATTAATAATATATGTTTAATGCAGCACCGGTAAAATCCTGCTGGAGATCAAAATTCCCACCAAACAAATCACCTCGGTGGCGTTTGGAGGTCCCAACTTGGATATTTTGTATGTGACAACCGCCAACAAATTCGACCAGCCCAAACCAGCTGGCACCACCTACCAGGTCACTGGGCTCAATGCCAAGGGTTTCGCCGGCGTTAGTTTGAAGATCTAGATTGTAGAGTACAGTAATATAGCATTAATTAAATAACCAAACGTTTGCTTGCTATCTGAAGGTGGTGTTTCTCTTATTGTCGGCATTTATTAATTTCCAATAATCTAAAACTTTTCTACATGACATTTCAAGTTGCTTTCCAAATGAGCTTTTGATTATAAGATCCGTGTAACGAAATAAAAAATCAATTGTATATAAGACCAGAAAATATAGTTTTTGACCTTGAGGGATGTGAATCAAGCCACTGGTTCCTTGCTAGATAAGTGAGAACCACTCCACAAAATCGATGGATTTGTTGTGAAATTGATATACAGAAGCGTTACGCCCTTGTTCTTATTTTGTAGGGCAAACGGTTTAGATTAAAATGGAATTGGAATGGTTTTTTTATAAACATCTAGTGAAGTACCGGGAGATATTACTACTTAATTGGGCAAACAGATACCAGTTGATACGTAAAATAGTTAAGGGGCTCGTACCCAATATATAGTATTTGTTGTGCGTTTTCGGTTCAGTGGAAGATTGTAAAAGTTGTAATCTAATCTCGATGAAATTGCATATCATGTATAATAACCAACGATTTTCATTGCAAATTTGTGTGTGTATTCATTTGTGATAATATGTACTTTTACCCGCAATAGAAATCATTCGTTTCAGCAAAAATTTGTACCATTTTATCTTATCGCTGTTTCCATTTTTAAGATAGTCAAATCACCCGTAATTATAAGTTAAACGGGCTTTAGGCGGAAACTCTATAATAGTGCATGATACAATAAAACAAAACTAACTATTGGCCTACAAAATCAAACCATTTCAAATAAGTAGAAATAAATCGATTCAAATATATACCGCCTCAATTGAAAGAGGACACAATTTTGATTGTAAGGGAAATGCAAACTGTGGCTAGAAAAAGTTGTGGGAAACGAGGAGGTCTCCAGAGGGCCAAGGCAATCAAAAACATATTTCTACAGAAATGGAAGCGAAGGGCAAAGGAGATGAGAGATCGTTTCGACAATTGTTTGCGCTGCACCCAAAACAACTGTCCCACAATATATGGGTAATAAAAGATACATTTATTCAGATACGGATACTGTATCCATATGCGCATTGTTTGACAACACGAGAATGCCACACAGACTGATACAGATCCAGATACCGAGCACATATGGCAGCAATAAACATAAAGAAAGACAAGAGATGGGGCTGAAAAATGAAAACTGGGATCTGGGGTCTGGGGGCTGGGGGCTGGGCACTGGGGACTGGAACCTGCCACTTAAATCGCAATCAGAAACAAAATTGATTTAAATTTGAAAATGTAAACAACACCCAACAAGGAGGACCGATCTAACAGCAATGCAGCGTAATTGTATTATAACAACAGAGGCTGAAACTTTCAGTTCATGACCGACAGTGGCCACAGTGGGTGTGGAAAATAAATGGATATTTAAGGTCTTATTTACACTTTTTAGGCCACCTTGGGAAAAAAATTAAATATTGACACAGTGAACACAAAAGGTGCCTGTTTCTCAAGCTTTAAATAACATAATTGAAGCGAGTAAGGGAGTTCTTATTAATTAAGTAAATTCTTGTTCTTTGACGTGTTCTAGTACTAGCCATTTGATAAGATAGTCTTATTTTTTCTCTCTTGTCAATCAGAGTGTATCGAAAGCTGCCACAAAGTGGTATGATCCACTGTGCCTGGAAAATATCGCCCACAAACATTCCTATCACCCCGAATGGGGCAAATCATATGCGATGGTGCCACACCCACTGGGCACTTTTTGGGGAAACCCACGTTAGAAAGCGCAGTAAACCAGTGGAAAGTGTCAAACGATCTGATCATCAAATTTGGAAAGAAAGCATGAGAAATACGTTAAGAAAATATTTAAAATGCAGATTGCATCTCAATTTGATTGAATAATAAAAATAATATTGGATGTTGGTTATAAAAAGGTTTACAAGTTATTGCAACTTTATGTAAATTGAATGTTTTGACCAGGTTTTACGGTCTGAAAGGTATAAAATACAAGGCATTACAAAATTGCCTAATGTTTCTTTTACTCAAATATGAAAAACAATAACATCACTTGCTTTAATTTCAAATACAATGTATCTAAAAACGTTTTAAGAGATTCTGTTTTTCCAAGGTATACATTTAACTCTTATCATGTTTTCAGGAAATGAACAATAGGATGCCTCTGACCATTCCTACCGACTTTTCCAGACCATAAAAATGTGTGTAGCTTCGGGAAAACCCGAAGCTGGGCAAAAAGTACTGGCAAACATTTGCTGTTCGGGAGCTTTGTTGTCTGCGTTTGCCGTACGTTAATGAAGCTTATGAGCAGCAGCGCACAAGTCGCAACTCACTGAACTGCAACAAAAACAACAAGCACAGTGAAGCACAAGTGAAGCGTTGCAGTGCGCGACAGAGAGGGCAGACTGTATGCTTGGAGGGAGGGAGAGAACGAACCGCAAGCGGGCGGCAACAAAAGGAGAGCGCTTCGCCAGTCAATGGCTGCACCTGTACCCACCGCCCATACCCCCCATCCCCCTCCACTCCCCTTCCCCTTCCCCTTTGCCCACCAAAATGAGACAAAGCACAGTTACGCTCGGCTTTGGCGGTTGGCGGTTGGCTCATTAATGTCTGACACGTTTGAGCGATCACCGCACTGCAGAAACTCGAAAAAAAGGTAGTGATATAAAAATATACAAAAAAAAAAGCAACAACAACAAAAAGCAGCCCCAAATAAACGCAGTGTAAACAGTTTTTAAAGCCACTCGTGATTAACATTAAAAACGCATTTCCAATGCAGATCTGGTTCTGCATGCACCGATTTCCGAGAGCAACAGATAGGCGAACCGCGGTAGCCAAGCAGAACATTCATAAATATAGTACAGTAGTAAGCGGCTATAAAAGCAAAATCGTGCTGTGCTAAAATTACATCTTGTCCAAAGCCATATCTATATATGTAAGAATTATAAACTCAGTTGAGATTATTTAGCATTTGATTTCAAATACCATTTTTGAATTCATAATCAGGATCAAGAACCCATTTATAAGCGCTGTTCTTCGTAGGCCGAGCTTACTGTACAAACAATGAATTGGGCGGGAACTAAATGTTCAGATATGACACGACCCAAGCTGCAAGTGCAGCGGAAGTGATCCATTACGCAAGTTCAGAGCGGAAAGAGCGGGTGCGACTGCTCAGAGAAGCGAGATGCAGAGTGGAAGGTAGAAAATGAGTATCGAAAAACCCATGGGGTTTCATTATAATTACAATTCTGACATGCAAAATTAATTCCTCGAATTGGAAACTATCTCTTCTTAGCAGAACTTTTAATTTGGTTTGCCCGTTATGGTAAGGTTTAGTTATTTAACTATAAATCAAATTCTAAATTGGATGAAATTTAATTTAATGTAATTATAGAACTCATTTTCACATGCATAAGAATCGTTGAGGTCCCTTGTTCTCCAAATATTGTATTGTAGTTTATATAACTTTTTGTACATCAAACTCACCTTCTGGCAAAAAGCGGCTGCCTCCTTGGCCACGCCTACTCCGTCCGCTGAGTGGGCGTGCGTTGAGGGCGAGGTCGCGTAGACGAAGAGCGGCAGCGAGCTAAAGTTCCGTTTGTCCTGGAAGCGGCGGCTGAAGAGTAACGGCTTGTGGCATCCCGCTGCAGCGGCAAATATGTTTGCTGTTGCTGTTGTTGTTTTCGTGACACTAGATGTGGATGCTACTGCTGCTGCTTCTTCATGCCTGCGCGTATTTACTGTTGTTGCTGTTGTTGTGGTGGCTGCTGCAGTTGTCGTGTTTGCTGTTGTTGTACATGCTGGGGTCGCCATTGGCGCATCGCAATTTTTTCGTATTATCGCCGCTTCTTCCTCTTCGCTGCAAGTTGTTGTTGTCTGTGATTGGGTTTTTGTTGTTGGCATGACTACAACTACAGCTACTATAAATCGAATATAAATATATCGACGGAGGCGTGGGCGGTGCTGTGGGCGTGTCCCTGCAGCTGCTGGCGTCCCTTGTTGTTGTTCTTGTTGTTATTACTTAGGGACTTGGCATTATCCTCCTCCATCTTTTTTGCTGGTTAAAAATCAGCGAAGTTCACCGCTTGCCAAAAATGAGTGATTAGCACTTGCACATCGGCGCGTTTATCTTGGCTTTCTTCATTTTTTCTTGCTCTTCAAGTGCAAAAGTAAAGTAAAAATTCTTTGCCCATACAAAAGTGTGAATTCTGTGTAAAAATGCACAAAAAATACGCACGAAGCCGATTGAGGGGGTGGGAGCGAGATGGCGATACACGAACGAGTCCAAAGGGCCGCCAAACTAGGATAAGCACGCCATCAAACCAAACGAAACACTTGCACAACCGTAATTCGGCCAACGTCCAAACAAAAGAGCCACTAATATTAAGTAAATTACTTAAATAACAAGCACTTTTGTTTAAAATATTTTGCAGACAGTGGTAGTTAGAGCTGGAACAACAAATCGATGCTTATACTATCGATGTATCGGGAAAGATGAATGCATCGATTACTGGTAGCAGCTACCATCGATTGTTTTTATTATTCACACTATTGTTGTCCCAATTGGAGTTGTTATCAAATAAGAAGTTAAATTAGGATAACTTTTTAATTTTGTTTGAAAATTGTACAGCATTTACATGATAAATGAGTTTTAAATAAATGGTTGCATAAAAGTATAGTTAAATATGAATACACTAACGCATGGTATGCAGTAAAATATCGATAGCCCAACGGGTAATATCGATTAGTAGATTGTATTGGCAAGTCGGCCTTGCCAGACCAGCGCTTTGGGGTAAATTTAAATTTAAAATTAACGCTCTGTCAAATATGCAACCCAGTAGCTAGTCGAAAATATTTCAATAACCCGGGTCACCAACGGATCAAAATTGCTCAGTAAAAACATTCCGGCAGCCTGTAACAAGTTGTGTGTTAACAAATTTACAACAAAAAATTGCAAGCTTTTGGGCGCACGCACCGCCGATAAAAAGGTACTTTGAAAAAAAACACCACCTCGCTGCCGGTAAAGCTACCTCTTCGGCCAAATTCGAACTAAAGTGAGTATGACAAGAGTTTTCCATTAACAATCAAATTGTAATTAACTGATTCACCCCTCACCGACAAAGGCGTTGCCACCCAATCGATCTGGCCACCCCGAACGAAAAGGTCATATAGCTGGACTGTTCTGTTGGACTGCCGTTTCGCAACACTACCACCCGACGCGCACACTATTCGTCTCACTCGGTCTCACACTTCGGCAACACAATAGTGCTTCGTAGCGGTGTCGGCTCTCGTACGGTCATCCCTCTCGCACAAACGGTCGAAAGGCCTCGCATTGATTGTGAAAAAATAATCATCGCCGTAGTCTCCGTCGGGTCGCCGTTTTTACTCGCAGTGCGCTGGTGCTGCTTTATTTCGAGACAAGGGACACACAACCGAGAGAGCCATATTTAAGCATTCAAGTTCTTGAGGCGCAACGCAGCTTTGTGTTTCGTTTTTCGTTCAATTCTAAGCAGGAGGATTATATATTGAATAAAAACCCAATTCTGTGCGAAGAACAAAAGAAATACGCGAGACACCAACACCAGCAAACAACCAACCAAACACACACACACACAACCCAGAAAATCAAATTTCAATCAGAAAATGGCGTTAAAAAGAATCAATAAGGTATGTGAAAAAAGGAAAAACTCGAAAAACTATGCAAAACGGATTAAAAAAAAGAACAGAACACTTGGCGATACACCAAATTGAAAGTAGGCAAAAATCTCAACAGACATCAATTTTCAACGGGTGAAAAATTTTATGCAAGAAATGTGAAACGTAGGTAGTACCCACGAAGAGAAAGAAGAAGCGGGTGGAAAGAAGCGTGCAAGAGGGAAGGGGAAATTGAGCTGTGGCGTTACCATTAGCATTTAATTAATAAGTTAGTAATTAGGAGCAGATTAGAAATTTTGAGGGTGGTGAAAAAGGGCTAAGGATGTGTGCGTGTGGTGGGCAAGGCAACGTGTGGTGCAGTCATCGTTTCCGTTACTTCTGCGAGAGTGTGTGCTGTGTGTGTGTGCGATGCGTGTGCGTGAAAGTGCAATGCAAATGTGCATTGTTTGTGTGCGTGAGAGTGCGTGTGTGCCGGGCACCTGGATGCATTTACATTAATGCAACTATACGGCGGAGTTTTCGCAGCTCTACGGGCGCTGTTACCCAATACACGCTGTACACGGCACTCGCACACACTCTCATTCTCGCCTCAGACACACACATACACATATATAAACGCACACATTGCCAGCGCCGCAGAAAGATCCAGCAAAAAATAAAACAGAGCAAAAGCAAGAAGCGTATAAAATTAACCTAACCCTACTTTTTGCGCTGATAATTCAGAAATGGTGCTGCCCCAAGTATATATATTTGTATATGTATTTAGGTAGAGTGGTTCTAGCGTGCGTGCTTCGATAATTATTTTTAAAGTGCCTGCGCGTCGTTTGTCCTTGTCCAGCCTTTTTACCCCCCAAATTTGATTGGGAAAAACATGTTCAAGGCCCTGGCAACCCTCTATTTTTCCCAAGTCATCCCAGCCTTCCTCAAAAGCATTAGTAATATCTTGAAGTTGTGGAAATGTTACTTGGCAAATTGGGATCTTTTTTACGTTTGCAGCCGGTTATCATAGTCATACCCCACACACACGCACACACACCAACGCGCTCGCAAATACAAAGTCTCGCCATCACTCGGCTATGGCCATTGCATGCCATCTCGCTCTGGCCTTGGCGCACTCCCTTTGCCCGCGACAGCTGAGGCCTCTCTCGGTCTCGCTCGCGCAATGGGGCAGAGCCAAAGAGAGCGCAAGTGTGTGAGTGCTAGCGGGGCTTAGTGTTGCAAAACACCGCCAGCCAAAAGGGGCCCCCAAATAATTAGTTATAAATTATAATTAAGCATAATTTACATACAAAATGAGCAGTGAATGCGGAATTTGTTCATTATCTATGCGTGTGTGTGAGCGTGAGAATATCGTTAGTGTGTGTGAGGCGAGGGGTCTGCTGACTGTCTCGACAAAAGCAGCGCTGCCTGCGTCGGCGTCATGGCCATTGAGTTTTCCTCGTTTTTCGTAGTTTTCCATTATAACATTTTAATGCCTGTCTAAATGAAAACGAAATGGCAAGCGGCAAACCGGAAATAAAAGTATACTTTGTAGTAAATTCTTAAAATCACTCACGCCCCCCTTTTGTGGCCAATTCTTCAAAGGTATCTTTTTTCTCTAGATGGCCTCATTTGCCAAAAAAAGAGAGTTAAACAGCGAGAGAGAACAGACGGCTTAAACGCAGATCGGAGCTCACTTGAATGTACACTGAACGAAATGGATGTTGTATTCATTCTTACTGAATCATTTCATATATTACCGCATCGTGGTAATAATTATAATAACAAATTAAAGCCTTTAAATAGCCGCAGCTTTTGCATATATGTATTGCCTGTACAACTGGTCCAATATTGATCTTAATATTGAAATTTCTTGCTGTGTACAAGTGTGCGTGTTTGTTTTTTACTTTATTTGTTTCGTCATAAGCGCTCCGACTCCAACGGAAAAAGAAATGTAACAATTTCTTGTAATTTATTTTTGCTCAACAGGTACAATTCCCGAAATGAGTGAAGTGAGATGGGGCAAAGAAACACGGTGTTTTTCGCGACGGCTATTTTTGTTGTGTTCCACTCTGATTTTGGGGTGCCGTTACAAACACACGCACACACAGAAGCTTCAGTCTTCCCACTCTCCTTCATTCTCCTTCCTCCTCCTGTCACTTCTTCACTGAGTCGCGCTCTTCTTTCGCAGCTCATCTTCATTATTCTTTTTATATGTATATTCAACGTTTTTTTTTTTTGCCGGTTTACCTTACACCTCATTCTCTCTCCCCTTTTGGTAGCAGTGTTTGTGTGCGTGTGGGGCAGCTGTGATAAGTGAAGAAGAGGCAGTGAAAGAGAGGGAGGGGAGTCGCTCAGCTGTGTGCGTGCGAGTGCAACAGGGACGGAGCGAGTGGGCGGGGGGTGGGACAGAAGGAGACAGCGCCATTTGTGGTCCGGGCCAACGAACTTGATTTTTCACGTCTCTGCCTCTCGTTCGCACTCGCTTCGAACAAAACACTTGCATAAAAATGTTTATTTTGTATCTCCACAATTCTGTTTTTAAATTCTGCATTTCAAATTTACATCATTTGCATGTCAACCACACAACATAAACGCACACCCGGAAAGCCGCGGCACATATAGCTGCATCATAGACCAAAACAAAAGAACCGACTACCGGAAAACATAAGCATATAGCCATGAAATGCATTTTTGGCTATTTTCCATTTTGATAACTATTTTGGGGGTTCCTGTATTACATTGGTGGATTTGTAAACCATGGTATCAGAGAATAGAGTTGGGATCAGCAAAGAAACATATCTCATAGCATGACTAGAAGCTAGGTATACTACTTAAAAACAGGTTCTTTTTCATAGGTAAAGATAAAATAACTTGCCATATCTGTTGAAAACAATGTCTTGTATTTCCTGAAGTAATGTATTTGCTTTCTAGCAAGCTAATCAACAATCAACGTATCTTAAAAACACATATTTAAACTTTTATTCAACCACTAATCTGAATGTGTCTTTGTTCCACAGGAACTGCAAGATCTGGGCAGAGATCCACCTGCACAATGTTCAGCCGGTCCAGTTGGAGATGATTGTAAGTATGGTTAATGTTATCCAACATCTCGATGGTTTGCCGTGAGTCAGTAGTATTATGTTGAGGAGCTCTCGAACCAAAGCTTTGATTTCACCATTTCACCACATCGTGTGGGAGCTAAGACATAAAAGTATGCGAAATATTTCTGAGTTGCCAGGTCTGAGTCAGTAGGGGCATATCTTTTTGTATAAAAATGTATAGTAATCTCATGCAGGGAATAGGAACTATATAGACCGTAGATATAGCATTAATTAGGCACTCTTCACCCTATACGTATATACCTATATAATAGGAAACAATATCTAAGGGGTTTCCGTTTCGTAATGGCTAATGGAAAATGCAAATATTGTCGTTTGCCATCACCACGTCATAGATTTCGATCGTGACTGGGCATATAACGCACAAAATTCGAAGCCTGTTTGTTTGCCTATTGGCGGTTACTTATAGTTTGGACTGTGCTAATTTGGGATTCTTTTGCGCCAAGTTCGGATTCGGTTCTTTATTTTGCGATAGCGACGGCCTCCAAACAGCTGATCGCCATGACTTGGTTCTTTTTTTCGCTGTCTTCAACTCGATTTAAAAACTCACGAAGCCGACATGCAATTAGCCAACAAATTCACGCTGCTTTTGGATCGGATTCGGTTACGTTATGGCACGTAGAGCTGTACTGCATACAGACAACCGTTACTGAAAAGCCCCAAAGAGGAAGGGGTGAGGTGGGGGCCATATGGGGGTCACTCTCCAATGACGTCACTGAAAAGTGAAATCGCAAATTATATAGCCGTGCTGACGACGATTTTTGGTCAAA